CACACACACACACACACACACACACACACACACACACACACACACTTGCATGTCTGAGGGATGCCTGAACGAAAGGCGGGTGTGTGTGTGAAAGAAAGCATGCGAGTGCAAAGGGATGTAGAAGAGGTTAGTGTGCACAGCCCCTGCGTGAGAGAGTCTGAACTGGGGTTTGGGGTGGCCTGTGCCTCTGCAGGGTTTGCAGTAACTTCTGCTAGCGTGAGTGCGTGTGTGGCAGTGTGTGACTGCCGATGGGGTGGTGCCAGACCGAGAGGCCCTGTCTTCCCTGCTCTAGGGGGGTAGTGACCCTGGGAGACCCTGAGGGACAAGACTGGGGGCTGGAGGGCCGGAGGGACGCAGCCAGGGATCAAGAGAAGATGACCATCCTGGAGGGAGAGCTGCGTGGAAACCCGGAGGCCCGTACTCACCAGGTGCGCTGCTCCGCCTTCCGCCGTCCGTCGGTCTGCACACTGCCGTCGGTGAATTCAGAGCCCGGTTGCGCGCGGCGCGGGGCGGAGAAGAGCGGGACGAGCCGGGCCTTGAGGCCCCGCCCCACAGGTCCCGCCTCAGGGCGGAGCCTCGGCCTTTGCCAAGACATCTTCGCCCAGCCCAAAGCTCAACCAGCGCGCATGGAAGCCTAGGAACCAGGGCTCTTCTCTCCCAGCCTCTGAGCCCCCTTTCTGCGCCCCCTCTCCACGCTCTGGCTACACTTTGAGTTTCAGATAGCTTAGTACCGCGCCACCCTTCAGCTTCTCCTTGCCACAGCACCCTAGAGCATGCTGTGATGGCCAGAGGTTGCCCAAGCACAAAGCTGCCCAGGGGACAGGCCTGCAGAAACTAGGCATGAACGCACCCACACGCACACTCAGTTCTGCACAGTCTAGATCACCCTGTCCTTTTTTTCAAAATAGTTCTGTGACCTGTACCACTGTGTGGTTTAGCCAGTATTCTTGACCCGTGTGGGTGGGTAAATGTGGAGAACCCTGTCATCCACAGCACAGTGTCCAACAGGCAGTCAACACTCTGCAAGATATAAACTCAAAACATATCATTACTGGGTCCTTGGCTCCCCGCCTCCCCAACGAGGCAGGTATCTAGCCTCTGGTCGCCACTGTCCACTCTCAGGAGTCCCAATGTCTGTGCGAGGTAGAAAGCAGACAGTGAACCTTACTGTCTGGGATCCAAAACTATAAACCACCTCCCATATCTGCCAGAGATGCATGCCCCTAAGCCACTATCTCTCATCCTAGCAGCAGCTGTGGCCCAAAAGTAAGACTCCTGTGGCCCAGGACATGTGTGAGGCAGCCAAGAGCAAACAAAAACATAGAGTAGGGAGGCTATCTACAGGTTTACATAGCTGACACCAGAAAGAGCCAGGGACTCACAGAGGAACCAGGATGGGATGTGGGAACCAAAGCCACTGGAAAAAGTCTGACCCAGGCTGTCCCAGTTTCTGTCTAAACTTGGCAGGCCTTCACTCCATGGGTCCTTTCCAGAGACCTCTCTCAGGGACTTTGCATGTGCTTTTAACCTCTACTGAACATCTCTCCCCCAGGGGCCCAGAGCTAGCTCGTTCTTGCTTTAAGATACACCTAAAATGTCCCCACTTCAGTGAAGCCTTCTCTGAGACTCCATCAGAGCCCCTCTATCCTGCCACTGGGCTGCGATCTCTCCCTGGCTGGCTGCGGTTTTGAGACTGATTTATCAATGATCATCGGTAGAGTAACTTAGCATCTAAGGGTTGTCACATGGAACTGTGTGTCCTAGGGCAAGTCACTTCCGTCTGAGCATTGACTTACTTCCTCTACTGCAAATTGAACAAGGAGCTATCAGAGTCTACAATCAAGGGGTTGAGCTGAAATCCCAAAGTTCCAGAAGGGTGTGCTCAGTAAATCACATATGAGAATAAACAGCAGATGAAATCCTTCCTTCTATTGCCAAGAGCAAAAGTGCAACAAGCATGGACCCTTTCCCCACTACAAGTCCTGGGTCAAAGGAGGGGAGGCAAGCAGCCAAAATTCAGGCTCAGGCTGCAGACAAGGAGCCTGGGCCTGGCTCTCTTTCTACCAGATAAAGCAGAGGCTGTTTCCCACCTCCGTCATCTGAGCCAGAGCTGTGGCCTGCTTAGAGCCTGCCAGAACTCTTATCGAAGACAGAGTATGCATCACTCACCAGGAATTTGGGGCTGGGGCTTGGCTGACATAAAGTTGGAGGAAGTTATAGGCTGATAAGGCCCAGACAGAGTGTCACAGGGGGCAGAGGTGTTATTCACACTAGTGAGATCTCATGGCCTCCCTGGGCACAGAGGCGCCAGAGCCAGCGGGCCTGGGGCTCACCTACACCACCTGGCCACCTGGACCAGGAAGAAAAGGTTTATAGTCTTTGGGGGAGGGAACCTGGTGGCCTCAGGAAGACCACTGCCTTGGCTTAAAGTGCTTAAGTCTTAGCTTCGGTGATCCCCATGGAGACACTGGAACTGTGTAGACGATGCTGGAATCGGTGACTGTGCATGCTAAGCCCTTGGTTTCAGGTTTATTGTTACTATGTTCTTTACAAACCTTCACCCTGGGCCATTTGTGGGAGAAAAGGTGTAATAAATGTTATCGGGACTCAAACTTGGAGAGCAAAGAGCAGCTATGGGCACCCAGATGTTGTCCTCCTGCTATAAGCAGCATGGGGCCAGGACTCCTATTAAAATCTGTCCTGGCTCTTCTACTCCCACCCACTCTGCATCTCTGTCTCTCCTGCAGCCACAGCTCTCCTGAGCACCAGTCTGTTGGTTCCTAGCTGCACAGCAGAAGAGGCCAGTAGATGTCAGAGCCACCAAGACTCTCCAGGGCAGAGTCTTCTGTCTCACCAATTCAGAAAAGGCTCTGTTGTGGCTTGAACAACATGAAGGTCCTCAGGTTCATGAGCCCTGAGTGTCCCTGAGGCTCCTGGGTAGGGGTGATCTGGAGGGTAAAATGTTGCAGTGATAGAATCTTCAGGAAGTGGGCCTGATGGAGCGTGGTTAGGTTGCGGGGCCTCCACCCTCAGATGGGATTAATGAGTCTCTCTCAGGCACGGCTCAGTGAGACTTTGTTGTAAAGACCCAGACTGCCTGCCCCCCACCTCCTCTGACTTCCCGTCTTGACATGTGATCTGTCCCTCTCACAGAGCTCCCTCCATAATGTGGTGCAGCCCAGAGGCCCTCCCCAGGATGCTGGCCCAGTAATCTCGGCTCTCCCAGACTCTGAGCTACATAAGACTCTTTTCTTCGTACAGCAGCAGAAACTGAATGAAAGTAACTTTCAGAAACGATGGCCAGTGATTTTCAGAGGGGTGGTATGACCCCCACCACCACCCTGTTCTCCTGCAAAGATGCTTGGCAGTACTGTCCCAGACAGCTCTATATGACAATGAACAGAGAACTCTGGTGTTTTATGTCTTTATCTGAAATATAAATGTCTACACTGCCTAGGTCCACTTCTCCAGTGGGTAGAGTGGAGCGTCTGAATTCCCAGTAATCCCCTGGAACCTGATAGGTATACCACTGCTGGGCAGAAGGCCTTCCCAGATTTGTTCCTTCCCAAAGAGAGGGGAGTCTGCAAGAAAAAAAGAGAAAGGCTGCCTGGAACCCCTGAGGCTTCCCCCACCTTCTAGATGGTGGTACATCGGCACCTGGAATTCCTGCCTGTGTATGTTGCTCCTGCCCTGCCTCCTTCCCAAAGTGGCTGCATCACCAACCTAGGCCCCGGGGACACCTGAGCAGGAACTAGCACTTGACATGAACAAGGATTGGATACAGAGAAACACAGTCAACTGTTAGGGCCCAGGTTCAAGCCCTCTCTGGTCTGGATTCCCACCCTCTTGCCCTTCATCCATCCACACCCCATCCTCAAGGCTAAAACTGTGAGAAGCTGTTTGCCCTCCTGGGAACAACCCCACCTCTCTGCCTTCCAGCTCACCATGGATCTGTTCCACCCACCCAACCCTTTCCACCTGTGGCAGGAACTAGATCCCTTCATTTCAGATAGACACACGAGCCTGGTTAAGGACTGTACTTCCTGCTGCCACAGTCACAAATATTCTGGACCACTGAAGAGAAGCAGGAATAATATGACCAGCTTTGAGAAAGAACAAGCCTGACCTTTCCTTTCACTTCCCTATAGCTGGACACAGGTCATGCCCTGATCACAGAGCAGGTGGCCTTACCTGCTCTGGCCCTTCACTTGGAAATGCACCAAAGCACAGGCCCCTTTGTTATAGCAGCCTGGCCTGTACCTGACTAAGATCTCTGATAAGAAGCCCAGATGTGCTGTGTTGGACACAGGAATCTCCTGTGGGAATGAGGGGAGCTAGTGGTGGGGCTTATGGATCCTACAAGACCTATGCATTTCAGTTTTTTGCCTAGGTACATCCCCGGGTACCAGAGCCTCTTCAGAACCTTCCTGGCTCAATCCTGGGTCCACATGATTCATTCAGACTGGGAGAATCGCTCACTTCCTGACTAGGCACCCGGCTCAGGTGTGGCCTGCTAGAGGAGTTTATCCCCAGCTTCAGTGGTTGGATCCGGGAAGGAAAGTAACTTGAGTGAAGGACCCTGAAGGGAGCCCAAAGAGGACACTTGTGCCTGGTTGATGTTGGAGACTGGGCTTGGCACTACTTTGTGACATGTGTCATGGCCAGGAGCGAACAGAGAGCAGCTCTGAGCAGCACAGGAGCTCTAGAGTGAGTGACTCCTGATGACAGATGCTTCAGCTCAGCCTAGAGCCATCCAATCTCAGGCTTCCCCTATAGGGACCAGTAAGTACTTGCTTCTGGAAGCTTCTGAGTTGCTGTTTTAAAATAGCTATTTCATTTGAGGCTTTGGCCAATTTGACCAAGAGTTTCTTGTTTACAGACTCTCCTGCAGAAAAGCTCAGCTGATAAACTTGATTCAGTGACACAAAAATGGCCTACCACGTGCAGCCCCCATCCCCCAACCCATGAACTTTCCAGGCCCCTTCCCATACTTCACAATGTCCAGATTTTCATCACTGTTCCTGCTTTACACTTGAAGAAGCTGGGGCTGGGTGCAGGGTCCCATGAAATCTTCACACTCTGTCCTTTCTCCACTGTCCCAGGCATTGTGAGCAGAGGCCAGGTGCCCCTGAAAAGGTGCTCGAGGGTCTGAAGCACATGGAACTCCTGGGGAGGTGGGGAGCTATTACTCTTCTATGATTTTCCTGCATGTTCCAGGAAAGCCGATGATGGCCTGACGCCTCTGTCTGGGAATGGTAGGCTTCCACCTCTGTGGTCCAGCTCATTACTGATTCATCTAACCCTTCCGTCTGCCTGATGTGATGAAATTTCTGGCACTTCTCAGAAGTTCTGGTCACCCAGGACAAGACTTGGCCCAGCCTGGCCATTCAGGCCAGCTCTACTGGCTTGGGGAAAGAGAAGGGGGCAGAGTGCTGCACTCAGAGTGAAAATCTCACCATTGGCTGGAAAGCAGGCTAGGGATGCCTGGAGCCTCACCACCTTCCAGA